GGAAAAATATGGGTAACAAAGTAAATATACAAGATGGCATTGGAAACAAAGAGAGTATTGCACCTTAGTTGCGCTCTCACTACCTAACCTTGAGTTGCAGGCAGCTGAAGGCAATTTTCCTATTCTATTTTTTGGCGCTGCTTTCATGAGATTTGATTGGTATGAACAAGGGTTGAGAAACTTCCTGGGAATTCTTCGTTCTTGGTGACCATACAATGATTTCTTTTTTCTTCTGTCTTCCTCATTGCATTTTTTCCTTCCTTTTTTTCCTTCTGGCCTATTTTTCATTCCTTTCTTTTAATCAATAATAAATTGCCACTATTGATGCCTACGTCCCCAATAAGAGTTATTTTATTGTCTCCGAGGCAAAAGTAACAGTGCACAAGATGAATTAACGCCGCCTGGGTTACGTGACCGAGGACATGTGCAAAACCCCAAGCGAACATGTGCTTGTTTGCTTTCACGATCTTGACGGAGACTTTCGTGATGCGTATCAGCTGACATCTCGGTGTATAAATGAGGATGCGCGCGGCGTGATTAAGGCTATAGGGCATGTTATGTTTAGGGAGTATTTTTTTGTTGTTTGTTTGTCATTTTCCAGTGCTTACATAGCATATGATGCCGAACGTGTTGCAGTGTTCTTTATTGAAAGACAGATTAGTTTTTTTTAATAGGATGATTTACTCTGCTTGTACGTTGAGTGTGCACTCACGTGGTCCGCACGGCACGTGAGTGTGCGTGCGTGAGTACGTGCGGGCACGTGAGTGTGTGCGTGTGCGTGAGTACGTGCGGGCAGGTGAATGTGTGCGTGATTGCGGGCACGTGGGTGTACGTGTGCGTGCGTGTGTGTAGGCGTGTGGACACTTGTGTGCACATGCGCGCGCTAACACACACGCACACTTTTATTTGGATAGGACATTGATTGAACTTTTATTGTAGGAAGGTCAGCCAAGCTTCTTGGTAGAGGGGTTAAGTCAAGGTTCTGTCTTTGAGCGATTCGTTTCATGACCGATGGCCTCACTTCCTGGTTTTTCGCTAAATTTCATCAGTATCTGTACTTTTGACATGTCACAGGCTGGGCATGATTGCTCTCACGCTCCTCCAAAAGGCACATTTTTGTGTGGAGCCATTGGTCTGTAGTAGTATGTCACAAATACACACACACACACACACACACACACACACACACCACACACCACCACCACATACTTACACACATGAAACACACACATACTTACACACTGAACACACCACATACTTACACAACCTACTTAACACACATACTTACACACATACATACACACACATACATACACACACATACATACACACACATATACAACACACTACACACACATACCACACATAACACATACACACACACACACATACACACACATACACACAACCCACACACACAACATTTTACACAATGAACACACACACATACTTACACACACATCTTACCACATACTTAACACACATACTTAACACACATACTTACACACATACTTACACACACATACATACACACACATACATACACACATACTACACACACATACACACATACA